GAGAGAGAGAGAGAGAGAGAGAGAGAGAGAGCGAGAGAGAGAGGGAGTGTGTGTGTGAGAGAGAGAGAGATTGTGTGTGTGTGTGTGTGTGTGTGAGAGAGAGAGAGTGTGTGTGTGTGTGTGTGTGTGCGTGCGTGTGTGTTGTGTGTACATGTGATGTCATCAGTACATACGTGTTTGCTCTCTAGATGTTCATGTCTGAAGGAGGCAAAATCAGTCAGAAAATTAAAGTCTGGTTCAGCGACTACTTCAACGTGTCTGATTTCCTGGCGCTCCTGATGTTCTTCGTGGGCTTCGGCCTGCGCTTCGGCTCGGGGAGCGTGTTCATCGCGGGCCGGATCGTGTACTGTCTGAACATCATCTTCTGGTACGTGCGGCTGCTGGATATCCTGGCGGTCAATCAGCAGGCTGGACCCTACGTCATGATGATCGGGAAGATGGTGAGAGACCGGCAGAGCTGTGTTTGAGCCGCTCGTGTCCTCCAGCACTGAGCGCTCTCTCCTCATCCGCAGGTGGCCAACATGTTCTACATCGTGGTCATCATGGCCGTCGTGCTGCTGAGTTTTGGGGTTCCTCGGAAAGCCATTCTGTACCCAAACGAGGATCCCTCGTGGACTTTGGCCAAAGATGTGGTGTTCCAGCCTTACTGGATGATGTACGGTGAAGTTTACGCCTACGAGATCGACGGTAAACATCTGCATTATTAATAAAAGTACACGTTCATAGCAAAGCACGGACACCGCTTCGGAAGAAGCTGGAGTAACTATCCTGCAGAGAATCTCTCAGAACACTTCCAGCTCACGCTTCCCAACCCAAAACATCAACCAAACTCTTTTAAACCCCTCAAATTCTCACTCCAACACGAGAAGGATGTGAAAAGCATTTTTCTTTCAGGTGTTTGTTTGTTCAGTTGTGAGACTTTTGAGAGGAAGATCTGCTTAAACATCCTTACATGAAAAGGGTTATAAAATAAGCTTCTTTTTCTTTATGAACATTACACTATATATATTTACACTACTGCTCAAAAGTATGGGATCAGTAAGACTTGTAATGTTTTTAAAGAAGTCTCTTCTGCTCATCACGGCTGCATTTATTTGATCAAAAATACAGGTGTATATATATATATATATATATATAGATATATATATATATATATAATTTGAGCGGTAGTGTATAATCTGGCTCAGAGCTGAATCTCTGCTGATCTAGCGAGAATACAAAACTTCCTCACCGCATGAATGCTATGAAATGCATCATATTTAGTGAGAAAGTGTGACGTGGAAGAGCAAAACAGACTCTTATTTTTAGATCCAACTGTTGGATTCCGCACATATGATGCAGTGTGGTGATATTAGTTCTGTGTAACTGTGTTGTTGTTTGAGTGATGATCTCATGACGCTGTGTGTGTTGGCAGTGTGTGCGAACTCGAGCGAGGCGCATGTTAAGGATCTGTGTAGGACCGGTGTGTGGTTGACGCCGCTGCTGCAGGCCGTCTATCTGTTCGTGCAGTACATACTGATGGTGAACCTGCTGATCGCCTTCTTCAAGTGAGTGTTGCGCCGCTGTGTGTCTGTGAGAGTCTCCACCGTAACTGAGCGTGCTGTTTCTCCGCAGTAACGTCTACATGCAGGTGATGTCCATATCCAACCTGGTGTGGAAATACCAGCTCTATCACTTCATCATGGCGTACCACGACAAGCCGGTGCTTCCGCCGCCGCTGATTCTGCTCAGCCACGCCGCGTCTGTGCTGTCCTCCATCTGCAGGAAGAGGAAGAAGGACAGCAGCACCTACGGACCAAGTAACGCACCTCTCGCTCGCGCCGCCGCTTCTGCTCGCGTCTGTCAGCGCTCTTCGTGTGTGTGTGTGTGAGAGTGAGTGTGTGTGTGTGTGTGTGTGTGTGTGTGAGAGAGAGTC